CTCAATTGATTCTTTATGCTCCAAGCTTCTTTTTTTTTTTAAAGTTCCAAGCATTTTTAAGAGGTTTTAACAGATAAGGGTAGTTATAAAATGTTAGCTGCAAAATTGACTTAAGATTTGAACCCTTCTTTGCAATTTATTATATTTTTTTACTCAGTTGGATGAAAAATTTATGCAAAATTTATAAACAGAATTTATTAATATATGAAAGTGTTCTTTCTTGAATTTAAGAAATAACCATCTTATACATTTAGTAACCTTGCACACTATTAACTGTAAATGATTTTATTGAGTTTGTTATTTCTAAAACTATATATATTTCTGCCAACTTAAACCACTGTTTCTTGTTTTCACCATGAACAGTTGTATATATCCTACAGACAGATGGCAGCTTTCAACAGTAACATAGTTTTGCCTATCTTTCCTTGCCTAGGATCACCACAAACCAGTTTATCTCCCAGAACTTCCTTTAAATTCTAACAAAGACATTTTCCTTAAAACTAATGGTATAGAATAGTTCCCTGTTATTTTTCATGTTATTTCTATAATTTCCCTGCTAGCACACTGTGCTATTATATACTATAAATCATATTTTATTTTGGAAAGAACTGTTGGCGGTGTTATTTTTAGGTCTAACTCTACTTCTGCTGACATCCAATCCAGCTAAGAAAATAGATGTAGGAACATTTAAAATCTCACATATAGTTTCGGAATGACATCCATATTATGAATGTTACGGGAACAGCAGTACTATATGAGGAAATAGATACACCACTGAATAAAGGGAACGTGCCCTGAACATATATGTAGGTGCACTTTTATGTTCTAGAGAAATAAGTTGTGATTACTTTTTTAAACATTATTTCTGTGGCTTTTTTTAGACTAAGTAAATTGCCACAAATTGCATTTAAATGACATTTCAACCTAGTTGCAGTCAGATCCATTGGAAAGTACAGTATCTGATAACAACATGATTTCAAAGGTATGATACATCACACTGAACCCTGTAAGTTCTATTTTTTTTTTAAAAGATGAAGAGTATACTTTTCTTTTACAGAACTGTTATTACATAACCTAACACTGAGCGCAGAAATGGGAAATTCAACCTTAGAAAAACTCACCATTTTCTTTGCTTCACACTTTAAAACATTCATAACTGAGAAGTTAAAAATGGACCAGCAGCTATCAGTAGAACTGATCAAGTATTTTTACTGGGGTACCCAGTCATTTAGACAGTAAATAAGGGATATTTGATCAATGAATCAGCAATATGATATCCGGTGTGAAGTTTCACAGTCTTAGGGCCTCATTCTGATCTCTCTGATACCAGCATGAATCAGAAGTATTTTACGTAAATTACGCACACACCAAAGTTGTGTGGAATCGGAATGAAGCACCTTGTGTTCCAATCTGTTTCACTCAGTATCTATGTCTGACTTAAGAGACTGGCTCACTTACAGAGCTCCACATTAGACATATTGCCTTCTTTTTTTAAAATATGTATGTTTAATATTTAGTTTAACAGAATTCCATATTCCAGTCCCTGTGTACTGTGGAAGGCCCTTTGAGGCTTTTGGTTTGTATGTGCAGTTTCAATTCTCCTCAAGTGTAATTTGGAAGCACCATTGCCTAATGGGGTGAAAGGAAGTATCTGTCTGAAATTAATCTTGGTTCTTTTTTGAGTGAGTAATGGAAATATTGCCAAGCCAGTGGCAATTTGTAAAGTGGGCTGTAGTTGAGCCAGGCTCACCAAGACTCATATAATTTATTATGTGTGATAGTGGAGTACTAGCAGAAGTACAGGTGTCATCAATTGTCCACACACTTCAAGTATGCACAGCTAATTTAGACTACCAGCTTCAAATGATGACACACTCAAAAATTCTGCCAACTCTGAAATATTGATTATAATGCTACACATAACTGTTACTGCCTATGAGACTGTATAAGTATCATAAAATAGGTACTATCTTTTTAAATTGAGCCTATGCTTATATTTTCACAGAAATATAAAAATTATTTTTCAATAATATTGCATAATATATGCCAAGATGAGAGACACATCAATAATATGCAAAAAGTTAATTTCACAATTTAGAAAAACTACTCACAGATTTTGAATTTACGATCTTCTGGGACAAATCATAGAAAGTCTGAAGCTACCTAAGGCCAACAATGGCAGAATGAAAATGGCAGTTTAAATGATACCTGGGTGACCATCATAGCTAGCTTGCAGGAGAGACTATTTTCAAGACCATTTGGCACATCTAGAATGTGGGATAGCTCTCTGAAGTAAAGAATATAAACATTAAAAGGTCAGAAATAGAATAGCTAAGTTATCCATTCACACTGGCAATGGGAATCTTTGTCATTTGGCTCTGAACCACTTTGCCATTCTGCATCCTAACGACAATTACATGTCCCATACTGACATTTCACTTTCAATTTTCATAGAATTAGTGAAAGTATTTAAGGAGTTAATGGAGGCATAGTACTTTCTTTAGTGAAAAATTAGATTAGAAATTAGATTGCCTTGAAAACATTACATGCAGCAAAATGTGCACTCAGAAAGCCTTCAGGAGTAATCATCTAAGCATGGTTTCTTGTGACTTGCATTTTACTGTTCCACAACAAAGAAAAATAAAAAGTCCCAAAGATCTGTGGCAAGATTCTGTTGTCTCCAAGAGGCACTGTTCAAAACTTCATAATCCAGGAGATGTGAAATTGTTTCAAACCATTCTCCATCCTCACAATCACAAATTGCTTCAGGGAGCAATAAAACTCCCCTGGAATGAACCAGAGGGTATCGGTGGCTACATGGAAGATCGACAGATATGCCACTGCCTTCCCCTAACATGCTTCCCTGCTTCAGCCCTGTGCCCAGCATGAGGACTTCAGAGTTTGTCCTCAGATGGCATCTCGAAGTTACCTTTCACCACGTGCTACCAGGGGTATCGTCCCTTCGCCAGGAATAGAGCTTTTAAGTGCCTCTTTATGCCAATCTGATTTCTCTTATCTTACTTAAGGGGCCAGAGCATGGACAGAGCTCCCTTTCTTAGCTCTCAATCTATCCTATATGGCACGCAATTCTCTAAAGTACAGCCAGCTTCTGCTTTGATGAAGCACTGTGCAGTGAAGACTGAAGGATCCTGTTTTTCACCATTTAAAGATGTATGATAGCAACAAAGCTCTATGTTAAAATATTTAACTTGCAGAGAACTTATGGAAATTGTCTATTCAAGCTCAGCAAAGACATTAAATTACCAAGCTGTTCTAGGACAGTTGTGTGTGGAGAAAAGCCAGAAATGCTCTGAGATTGTAATGTTACTTACAAAGATTACAGCATGAGCCTGATTCAGAAGCTTTTTATACAGATCAGCATGGTGAGCTGCAAAATGTTACCATATCAATTTCTGCAAAACATACTGTGTGTGTACATATAGATATAAAATCAGGACTTATACACAGCACATTTCCTGCCACATTTTGAATGGCATCTGTTTGTTTAGTTTGCTGAAATATGAAAAATAATATTTAGCAACTACTGGTAACACAATGTTAACAAGATTTAAGAGTATAGCTCTGTCAAAATGCAGATAAAAGACAAATCCTTCTATCTCAGTGTTTTAATCAGTCAGATCAGGGTTTTGATGAATATGCAAATGTGACTGTTTATACACTATTTTCCAAGTGAAAAGAAACAAAATCAGTTTCATTATAAAATTAATGACAGCTCTGTCCTCTAACATTAATAATTAAGAGACTACACACATTAAGGTGATAGTGCTCTTTCCTCCCACTCTCTGAAGATTTTACTTCTCTATTTTTTTAATAACCCCTTCCCTTACAATTGTTTGTCCCACTAATTAGAAAGATTAATAATTAATGCCAGTTCAGGGATATGTAATAGTCACCTTTAGATCAAGAACTGTACTTAACTGACAAAGGGTTAAAAAACACTTTCTTTTGTTAATTCCGTATTTTAGTCTTCATAAGTTGAATTTTTCCTCCAAGTTTATGCCACCATAGGGATATCTCAACGGCCTGCTCTAATGCTGGAAGCCTTTTATTTATTCCAGTGCAAGCTATACATATAATTTCTTTCAGATTTTCAGAATATATGCTGGGATTCTTTCTAAAGCCCCAGCTGCTTGGATCAGCAGCCTTCATAGAAACCACAGCCTTTTTCTGACATACACACTAGAAGCTTAGATAAAATCAAATCTCAGATAAAAGATTAAGAAACTGGTACAAGTGCACTATAAAGTCTGAGAATGCAAAAGTAAAAAAAAAAAAAAAATAACCAACAAGATTTCAGATATTATTTTTTAATCTGATAATTTCTGAGTTGATATGGGAGTGGCTGAGACAAGCTTTCCAAATTTTCAGGACAGGTAACATTTCAGATGGAGGTTATAGAAAAGTGAGCAGAAGTTCAGCCTTCCATTAACTCTCCCTTTCTGCACCAGAAGGATTATCACATTTCATTTCCACGTGGCCACTAGGATCTATATGGAGACCCCTAGACCCCTTTTACTTTCAAATCACCAAAGCAGGCATTTTTAAGAGTAAATAAAATAGGTAGCTTGTGTTTTGCATTATTTAACCAAGAAAAGCTACATTCTAGTTCCAAAGATACATATTTCCCTCTGAACATAAAAGCTCTTCCAGAAAGACAAATGGACAGAGTACTCCAAAAATCTCATTTCTCCAACAACCTGTTTCAGTTTCATCTTTTAATGTCTTTAGAGGTGAATTGATCCTACATGGGAATTTAGCATTTCCTTGCATATCACAAAGGAAATATTTGACGTGAAATTAAATTAGCATTTGTCTATATTTCACCATGCAGGTACACTACTTCATGTGTCATTGATAGCAGTAAAACAAATATGTGTGCGTGTGTACTTTAGAAGAGATGATGAATTATACTCTGTAAGCATTTAAGGGTAGACATTCATAATGAAGCCTGCTAGTTGGCAAGCATGCCTATTACTTACCACACTGAGTCCTAGCAATTCTCTGCAAAAGCAGTCCATGTTCCTCCTTTGTAAGTTGTCAAGATAGTGCTGAAGGCGAGTATAGGTGTAGGGGTAGGAGTAAGCAAATTGATAAGTGTCATCCTCTCGGTCAAAGCAAAAAGCAAATGACATGACATAGTTCTTCCTGTGGTCTGGACAGCGATAGTAATACACATTTTTTGAGGGTATTCTTTGCCTGAAAAACAAAAAACAACATATATATAAATTGACATAAGAAATATGGACAAAAAGACTGTGTGGGATTCAAGTTTCCTCTAGAGCGAATGAAGTGTAACAGTTTGAGCTGCTCAGGAGCACCGAGTGCTCGATGCCAGCACAGCCACGGTGCTGGTGTGCCCATTGCCACAGGGACTGCAGCTCCCTCCAGGTGCCCAGGCTGGCAGAGCCACCATAGCAGGGGAGAGCACCACGCAACAGGAGAAACCTACTCCCATGAAGTGAAAAGGATGCACAGGCAGTTAAGATATCTCCTACTTTGCTATCTAGCTGGTAAAGTCTCATACCATTACACCAGTCTCAGCCAAATCTCTGGCTGGAGTGTGGCTGCATCCTTTGACACAGGTCTAATTCACCAGCAGAGAGATGAGGCATAATCAATGAATGAATGTCAGGATAAAAGAACGCTGACAGAACTGCTACTGAAATTCAGGACATCTTTATTTTTTTTACGATCCTTAATAGTCAGGGGATATATCAACACCTAGCTAATGAATGAAGGAAAAGATAAATTCTTGAGGTGAAAAAACAAAACAAAACAAAACAAAAAAACCCCACAAAACCAAACCAAAAGAACAACAAAAACATCAAAAAAAAAAAAAAAAACCAACAACAAAAAAACTTCAGTTATGGAAAATAACCTGGTCCTAAATTAGAAAAAAAAAAAGGAGAAAGGGGTATTTGGTCCTGTTCCAAATTGGATTGCTGCCCTCCTCGAGAGTTCTAGCTTATCTGACAAGATAAAAAGGAATATACGTGATAGTAAATGCTTAAAATAAAGACATTTATGTCATTGTCATCAAGCTGGTATCTGTTTAAGGAATAATAAATGTCTGCCTGCCATCTTTCACTCAACTTCAATTACTCTGTTATTTCTCAACAGAAATGAGAAATATTTCAGAGGGGGGGTCAAAAACTTTTTCTATATACCAGAAATGTTCAGTATTTCTGTTTGCACCCTTTTTTCATTTCATAGATAAGTTTTCTAGCTTTATTTAGACAAAAGAGTCTCTAGTCATGCCATGCACTTGTAATTTGATGTAACTAACTTACCAGTCATGTTTGGCAACAAAACAATGATCCTGCTGACTCTAACTGATTCAATTACACATTATAAACAGGTCTCATCTAAAGACCGGAGCAGATCTCAGCTAAACTAGGATCGTGGTAAGGAGAAACATAATAAGATTTACAGACATAGCAGTAGTAATATGCCTCTTTGTAATAGTTCTGGGAAGCTGGTCTACTGCATAGCATCAGTTTTGGCCTTTCATTGCTAATATGAAATAGAGGACAAAACCCTCTCATTATGCAGAAGTATGTGTTTGCCAATTAGCAGCAGTTAAGGAGCCTGATCAGCAAGACTCAGGATCTACAAAAAGAAACAAAAAAGAATTGAGATGTTCTTGAAACGTACAATAAAGACCCAGTGATGCAGTTAATTAGACTTGAAATAATAATTTATTTGTCCCTTTTATTGCCCTGGTTCTTGCACATTCAAGGTTTCAAGAATTTATTTCAGCATTTTTGGTTAAATAAGACACTTGCTTATCAGTAAGATCTGAAAATTATTTTTAAGCCACAAATATGAAGGACAGAAAAAAAATTCCTTTAACTTCTTATAGAAGTATCAGTAGGGGAAAAATGCCACCAGCTGTCTGCATGCAGTACCCTAATCTAATAGGTTTCTCCAGTATCTTAACATATTTCTATCATTCGCCCTTACTCTGGAGTGCTATAGGACATCCCTCATTTGGTCTCAAATCAAGCAGATGATATGGCAGTGGGTAAATGTATTCTAGCTCCCAGTCCTCAAACAGTAATGCAAGTTTAAACAGTATGTTGCTGAGTTGTTGAACTTTATTTGTTTCCAAATTAGCATGGGAGAAATAATAAAGAACAAGCCTTACTTTATGCCATAAAAATTTAATGTAAAATGAGACCAATAGGAGGAAATTCGGGATTTTAGAAAGGCTAATGCTAATTGAAATTCATCTGCTGATAGTTAATGTTTAAATGACACATAGTTCTCCTTGGTTCAATAACTTTCTACTTTTAAGCAAGTTGAAGACAACTTTGTCAATGTATTAAAGGCACTTTTGATATTTCATTCCCTTTCCCCTTCATTATAGAAGCTAAGCATCTGTTTTATTATCCACTTTGACACATCACTTTATGGCTGCATTTGGCTATTATGGCTAATCTTGATGTCTAGGACATCTGGTATTGACATTTCACTATCTGGTGTCTGACACAACAGCAGAAACCATCCTCAGTTCCTAGGTTTAAATTCACCCTCTCAGGGCAGAAAGTGCCCAAACTCCTAATTCAAACCATATCTTCCAAAAATAATTATAATAGTACTCCTGTCACTGCTAATCTATTTTTATCTCTCCTAGCACTTTGTCACTGCTAATCTATTTGTGAGTCATATAGAGAAAGAGAGTTAGTGTTTAGATACCAACAACACATCTTTACACACAGGAGCCTAATCAGATTGAGATCTTATCAGGGAATTAGAGAAAAAAAAAGAAAAAAAAAAAAAGGAAAGAGAAAGAAAGAAAAGAGACATAGTGCTAGATATCACCAACTGAGTTTTTGATAATGAAAAGACATTGCTCAGTTCTTGAATTAACCTTTGTGTCCTAGACGCACTATTGTTTACTCTTTCCCTTTTTTGTTCTATGCCTTCTGGAAAAGGACACCCACACACTGTGGCAGCAGCTGCTCCTATTAATTTAAAGCTATTACAAAAATTAAAATTAAACCCAATTACTTTGGCTGGTTTATAGCCGGGGAACGGCTTAGTCTGATTGTTCCCTCTGGTTATGGACAAAAACAATATTCCTACCTACAGGCAGCTGCCAGTGGAATACTAATGCATCCAGGGCCTGGCAGGGACAGATTCAGAATGCAGAGTCTAACTGCATTTCTTACTAGAGAAAATATCTTATCACAGATCTGCAGAAAAGCACCAACCTCTTGCGCTGTAAGTCACAATGAAGCTGGTTTGTAGTTAGAGGTAGAAAAGTAAAATGATGGTAGAAAGCTTACTGCTCAGATTTGCCATTTTGCATTTCCAGGCAGCTCACACTAAGAAATGCACCCTGCTAATTGATACACAACTGCCTGGATTTCGGTGCTTCTGAAGAGTTATTTAAAGGAGAACCACCCCAATTCTAAGTACAGCCACAGAGAATAACATGCAAGCAACCAACTTCCAGTCTGGTTTTAGAAATATATTTACAGAAATGAAGCTTGATATTTTATATCATTTTGAAACAAATTCAGACTGCCTAGTCTTAAATGCAAAATTCTTTCTGTCAAAGGAAGAAGGAAGCACAGAAGCAAAGATTTTCTTTCTATTTTGACTGTCATGGTCCAGTGCCAGTCAAAGGCTTGAGCCAGTGGATTTGAGTGTCTTCTCCTCCTGTCTGACAAGGTAGCACTCCAAACCTAGCAGATTTGTTAATCCCAAGTGTGAATGTACATGTCCTTGTCTGTTCTTATATGATTGCTACATTGCAGTCTGGAGTCAGGACATTTACTCTGTTTTGGTAGCACGCAATAAGATCAAATTTGTCAGTTTACCAAAAAAAAAAAAAAAAAAAAAAAATTGAGTCCTCATTCAATCTCAAAAACCTGACAATTTCAGAGGTCCCAGGATTTTACTCTTTCCTACTACAACAGTGATGGGTATAACTGAGCTTTGAAAATTATAACCGAACTATACTTCTGTATTGAATGTAATTTCAATTTCAACTCTAATAATATTGATCTTAAAGGCAAACTTTACTATCTGTTCTGCTTTTTTCTCTCTGCTGCTTTATTTCCTTTTGAAAACTGGGAGTTAATCAAGACTTTGGGAACAAACACTTGGGGGTGGTGGAGGTGCTCCTCTGTGACATCTATTCTTTAAGTTTTAAACTTATAAGGGAGCTAATCAAATTCTTTGGTGGTACTACAACACAAATAATTAGAAAATAACACTCTTTGGAGCACTTTCCCCCCCAGTAGTGCATGACCAAAGCAGTGAGCTTTTGCCCAGTCAAATTTTCAATTACTTTAATGAGCAACCTAAACAGTCTTTGGACCACTTTTAATATGGCCCTCGTGAAGTAATTATTCAGGTCCTTGTCTCTACAGGATTGGGTTAGACATATCACAGTCAGTTGACTTCAAAGTAAAATGATGATCTTTAGAGGAAAAACAAAAAGCTGCAGGTGCTGTAAAAGATCAATGGCCAAAAGAACAATTAAGTGATCTGACTCATAGAGAAATACTCTAGTGAATCTGATTGCAGTGTAGTGTTAGCTGTGGTGACACACTGTGGTGATCATTTTCAATTGTCATCAATTTGCAGATGTAGGGATACAACTTAAAAATTTTGTAAATTTCCAAGCTTACATATATAAATCAAAAAGGTGGGCCTTGGGTCACAGTCTCAGAGGAAAGTAGGCCTACATTTTAAAGACATTTCAAGCACAATACCTGATTCCAATTTAACTTTGGAAAATAACCTTCAGGTATTTATTGATGTTGCCCAAAATACTAGATCTAGCTACTTCTCCTGAGTGTTCAAATTTTATTCTTAAAGCTGGATGTCCCTATTTGTTAACAGCAAGAAATTCAACAAACTCTGAAGAAAATATAAGGATGTTAATCATGTACTGCAAACTCTTCTGGGAGGCACCCCTTTCAAACTGAAGGCCTTACTGACTTGTTTCTCTGTTAGTCCAAGCCATTATTTTTCTTCTTGCTTATTCTTGTTGACAAGTGGAGCTGACCATTTTCAAAATTCCTAGCTCACTTGTGACAAAATAAGTTTGTAGGGTTTTTTCTTGTACATAATTTTATATTTGATTCACAGAGCATGGACCAACAGTGAATATGTCAGACGGTGTTAAATATTTTTTACAGATAACTGAATGGGTTTTGGCGCAGCTAACTCAGTTTCAG